ATTATTACCTGTTTTACATACACGTAAGAGGATACTGGGCTATATTTCCTGTTTTTTATTGGCATATTTTTTAGACTTTGAATAATATACTGCTGTTTAGTATATCAACCTGCCGCCCCAAATACTAGCCAGTTTTCAGCCCGACCCGCTGAACCGCGATGGTCCGCGTCAATTGAGGGCAGGTGTAGAACTTGCTCTGGCGCTTATGATGGAAAGTCAACGTACTGTAATTTATTTATGTGGAATGAAATGAGACATACGCTTTTAGGGCAGCAGCCCGTCAAGTAGGAGACGTGTTACCCTACTATCTCTGGATAAGACCCTTTCTCAATCGTTGGTACGTCAACGGATTGGGGGAGGGAATTGCTTGCTCGTTATTTTGTTATTTTCCTTTTTTTCGTTTCGTTCTTCTTCTTCTTCCTAACACTAAAACAAACCCAGCGAAAGGGCTAATTTCAGGACACAGAAACGCCAGAGTCCACGCGGTGCCGTTTATTTTATTTTATTTTTGGGTGCCACAAAAGACCTCATTGATCCAGGTTGCAAATGGCTTGTGAAGTTCTTTTAGATGACGTGCAGTCCAACTCAAAGTCCTGTTTAAATGGTGGAATATCTCCAACGAAGTCCCGTTGTGACCCGGATCTACTTCGACTCAGTGACTTTTGCGACTCTGGGCAGTGGCTACACCTGAAAGCCTAAGAGAAAAGAAACAAATGAAATCGAAAGCTGGTGTGAAATCAAAAGGAAGCGTATTTTGTGGGTGGGGAAACGGATAAACAATTAAATGGCACATATCCTCAGCAATATACCGTCCAATATACCTTACTTTATATACCTCAACAGTATAGACTCCTGTGTATCTCAATTGAGAAGTAAGTAGCACTGAATGGGGTGTACTCCCAGCTAAGTAGATACAAGATTGCAGCTTAAACACGTGGGTACTACGATCCAACCAAAGATAAGCTCATAAGCCTTATTGATTTCAATGACCGAGATCCATGGGGCAATCCTATAAGTATCTACCAAGCTGCATTGAGTTCAGTGGGACTTACACCCAAGTAAATGAGTAGAGGGTTGCAGCCTTAAGCCCACACTTAAGTATTCCAGTTGAAGTAAGTGGGACCTGGAAAGTTCTTGTTGTATATCAATTATTAAATATGTGCATTAGTAGATAGTGGGCATGCAATGTTTATATAGACCGTGCATCACTTATTTGTTACTATTCATATCCCAACTTTCTGTCAAGGAACTTATGGTGGCATACATGGTTCCTCTGCAGTTTATCGTCACAACAAGCCTGTGAGGTAGGTTATTTGATAGAGAGAGTGAGTGACTAACCCAAGGTCACCCAGTGAGTTTCAGGGCTGAGTAGGGGTTTGAATCATGGCCTTCCAGGCCCAACACTCTAACCAATAGCTTACACTGTCTCTTTTTTCAAATGTTTTCCCCAATATAGCAGAATGCAAACCAATGAATAATATTCAACATATCCACTTCCACATAATGTATACATGAGAGAAATGACAGGATTTCAGCCGTGCAACATAGCTATCAGGGGTAGCAACAGTTTTTTGTGAACTGGACATCCACATGTGGCGTGTCAAAATTAGTGTGAACTCATTTGAGTCACCACCTGTAACCGCGACTTCAAGCGACGACTTGCAGGTGAAAAACATCCTCAGTCGTCATAGGAAGTTTGTTTTACTGAGCCTTATTACTCTCATCTTAATTAGAGACCAATAATTCATGGGGTCTGGAGAACAGATGCAGGAACTCATCAAGGTAAAATTTGTGTTGGGGTTCCCTCTAGATCAGCCCGTTTCTCAACTCTCGTAGTCAGTCTGGCACGTCCAAGAAATAACAAAAACCAGGGAGCATTTGAGCATGTTCAGAGTCCCCCCCCCTTCACGTCCACTCTAAACAATGGGAGAAGAAGGAGGGGGTTCAGGAGAGAATTACTGGACACAGCACACGACTCCCAACTAGGCCTGACCCCAGTACCTCTTATTCCAAACAATGAGAACTTCGAGTGACCGGTGTGTTACAATCGGTCCAGTTCTTAAAGAGGAACGGTGGCCAAGGGCAAATCCCTCCCTATTAGTGTCAGTAACAAACCTTCCAAAAATCTGAAGGGATTTGTCATCTTAATTCCCAGTCTCAGTTTCTCTATTTGTCAAATTGCACGAGCAATATAGAACCATCATCAGCATCTCTCTCTCTTAAGAACTGTAGATTGACTTTTTAGCTCCACCAGTGCTCCCACAGAGATTAAAGTGCTGCATTTGTGACAAACTTATGTTTCTGATTCTGGGGACATCACTCCTGCAGAACATTGGATTAAGTAAACAGGGAAGAGAAGGCAGACTTTACACAACAGAGGTGCAAGTTTATCAATATTTTGTTCTTTATGAGAGCACTGTAAGCAGTAAAGAGGGAATTTTTCATTTACTTGGTTTTTGCCTGAAGCTTCTGGTACATTTTATTATCTATTATCTATCATCTCTATCTATATCTATCTATCATCTATCTATCTATATCTATCTATCATCTATCATCTATCATCTATCATCTATCATCTATCATCTATCATCTATCATCTATCATCTATCATCTATCATCTATCATCTATCTATCTATCATCTGTCTCTCTATGGCATATAATAAAATCTGGCTTTCAAAACAGCTCTTTATTACTTTTTCGCTCTTGAAATACAAAACAGGAGACAATTAGTTTGTGCCTTGAGATACTGTCAGTATTATTCCCATTTCACAGATGGAAAGGAGAGACTGAGAGGTAGAAACCTGACTTGCTGGTATAGTGATAATTCTACTTGGGGAGGGGAGAATACTGCAAGAAAGATCTCCCCGAGAGAAAACTCTGCACTTTTGCCAAATGCAAAACTATAAATGGGGGATTGGCACTAACAGCCTACCACTGTAAAAGAAGTAACCATTTCAATGCATCATTTTCAATGCAATAAAATGCTTTTGCAGTGCTGTCCTATAGCTGACTAGTAAGACCCACTGAATTCACTGGAACTTCCTCCTAGGGACGTGTCTGGAGGATTGCAGCCTTAAAGTTATTTCACGTCATTTGTTTTACATAGTCACAGCCCTGTAAAAAAACAGGTAAACACAATGTCCGTTTTACTGCTGGGAAACTGAGGCTGGGGAGCAAGCTAGCTGCTCAAAGACAACCCGCGCGCTCAGCCCATCTTACCCAAAAGTCTTTTGGGGCGAGAAACATCTATACCTGTAGCCCAGCGTACCCCCAAGTTTTTTTTTGAGGGGGACTACCTTTAAAAGCAGGGTGTGCAGAATATAAATGAATGGCCGGAGAGAATAAATCACATACACGAATGAGATTCCTTATCGTTTGCAATGCAAGGGACACGGGACTGGGAACCAAGGATGGGAGAAAGAGAAAAAGCGAATCCTATTTAAACGTCAGGTCCCTTACAGCGGTGCCACACCTTTGCTACTCCTTTTGCAAGGCGAGGCATCAGGATCAGCGTCTAGCCACTACTTACTTACTTTATTTATTTTATTTATTTAGTTTTTACAGAGGCACAAGGAGCTGCCTTCAAGGTCCTCCTCGCTTGATGGCATGCATTTGGTGGCCAACTTGCCAGGCAGCTGAATTGACCAAGGCAGACTTTAGCCCTTGACCTCGAGGTCGCGTGTGGGTGGGTGCAGTCGAGCTCCTTGCCTCCTCCATGGCTGAATGTTGATGGAGCCAAACGAGGGACAGCCCTTTAGCCGAGCCCCCGGGGAAGCCTGGGATTCTTCCCCACCCCTCCCAGGGGACAAGGGCAAAGGTGAAGGGCGTTTGTTTCCGAAGAGACTCGGAGGTACCCAGATACTGGCCGCTCCGCGACGGGCCTGGAGTGTGACTTCGGGAGCGAGCAAGAAGACGGCACTGGGAGAAGGAGCGAGCTCACCTCGAGAGGGCGAGAGGCTGGTGATCTTTATTCCCTGGGATGGCCACTTCTCTCCGTGGATACAAGTCCTCCCGGGGGGCAAGGGTCTCTCCTGACCTTCGCTTCAGTGGGCACAAAAGGGAGATCAGAAGTTAAACAGCCCAAACAAAAACAAAAAAGCGAGGAAAGCAGTGAAAGTAAACAAGAGTGTTTCTATGTCTTTCTAAAGAATGGATGCATTGAATGAGTGAATGACAAAGAATCTTGTGGCACCTTGAAGACAGACCGATTTCTCGCGGCATAAGCTTCCGGGGACCACAGTTCACTTCATCACATGAATCTGCAGCTCCCTAGGATAAATTAGATTTCTTAGTCTGGATTTGTTTAAGGATGCAATCCGAGGCTCATTTACTTGTGGGTAGGGGGGCAAGTCGCTTTGGCTTCCAGGTAAATATGCATAAGGGCGTGTAGTTCAGCTCTGTACCTATTTACTTCGAAACAATCCTAGCTACTAATGCAGCGGGACTTGCTTCCAAACAAGTGGGCATGGGATTTGGGGCTTAAATAAAACACCAACCATTCCTGCCTGTCTCTCTGAATCACCCCCCAACCTACCCCGGACAGCCATATAAAAACTGGGGCAGGCTTAGGGAGGACAAATAACTGACAGAGAAAATTCGACCAACTTACATCAATTTTCCCTCCGCTCCCTTACAAGTCAGAAGGAAACCGAGATTAAAATAATGATCTGATTTATCCTTTCTCCAATAACCCATTGAATCTTTTGAACCTGTTTCCTTAAACCACCCCCGCTCCCATGAAAATAAACCTAAAGTCCTGCCCCCCCCCAAAGTCGTGGAAGAAATAACAGCAACAACAATAACGATTTTCCATATATAAAATATGAAAATGTTATATAGTAATGTGAATATAAGTCCCCCCCCAACAAGTCATGGTGTGGCAGTGAAGGTAGATTAGGAGCTGGAAGAGTGGGGGGCTGAGAGAGCTAAGAAGCTGAAGTCTGGTAATTCTATCTCTTGGCTGTGGCAACAGGGAGAGTCAGCCGAGTCTACCTATCGGGCCATCTGGCTGTTCTAAGCTGTGGCCCCATGCTGTATGATTTTCTCTTAAAATCTCTTCCGCTGAAGCCCCGCTCTTATTGAATTCATCAAAAGCAAACTTTCCCCGAGTTTTTTTGTGTTTTTTTTAAAAGAAGGAGGCTAAAATAATAAGTCGACCACTGTGACATTCTCTAGGCTTAGACCATTTTTCATAACGCAGCTGATAGTCTTTTGTGAGGCGGAGGAGACTAAACAGATGAATAACGAGGAAAGTCTCCCGGAAGGGAGGAGAGAGGAGAGAGAGAGACAGACAGAGAGAAACCCCATACAGCTCCCCCCCTCCAACTAAAGCTGCTTTTTCTAATCTTTAAAAAGTTAACTGAAATGAGAGGTGCGTGTTAAAAAAAAAAAAAAGCCCCCAGCGCCACCAAGGAGCGAGCAAAACACTGGTTGTGTCCCGACTGGAAACAACTTTGCACTGGCTCGCTTCGCTCCCCAAACTTTTTTTTTTTAAAGCTTATGAGACGACCCAGGTGGCGGGGCGAAGCCGGGGCCTGGGCCATCTCAGAGAAACAGCCGCAGCCTGCTTGGAGACCCCAGCTGCTCTGATGACTATTTTTTCCTCCTTTCCAAACTTGCAGCAAGTCACACACTCTCTCCATATCTCTCTGCATTTTTATTTATATTCCCCCCCCCGGTCCTCCTCCTTGTAGTAATCCTTATTGACTCTAGGGCCAGGAAGCAGGAAGTGTCTGCAAGAGGAAGGAGGAAATCGGGGTGGGGGTTGGTGGTGTTTGTTTTTGATGGACACATGGGGTAAGTTTCATCTTTCATTTTGTTTTACCTCGGTGTATTTTCAAGTGCTTGATGTACATTCTAGATATATAGTTGATGGATTGCTTATGTTCTCCCAACTCATTTCATATAGAGATATGATTTGTGTATGTCTTGGATCCTGTTTAGATTTGATTTGCTGTTGTTTATTTTATTTTTTTCCTATTCTCTTCACTTCGGGATTATTTTCAAACTAAATCAAGATGCTTTATACCCCAATCTCCTACTTCAGTGGGTTCCTAGGGAGTGGGATTTTAATATGTTTGAATGAGATGATATTCAATATGTCATGGGGGACCGGTGGGCTCGTGGTTTTTATTTATTTATTTGATATATTGTGGGAAGAAGGGTGGCATCTTAGGCCCCGATCCGAGTCACACCTGGAAGTAAACGATAGGTGCAGTCCTACTGACACTTACTTAGAACTTAGCCGCATTGAATTGAATGGGACCTACTTCCCATTCAAAGGATGAATAGGTAGGGGGCAAACTTTCTATGATTGGACTGCAGGAATCCTGTGTGTGTGTGTGTGTGTGTGTGTGTGTGTGTGTTGGCCTATGAGAAAAACAAAACTGACCCAACTAGCAGGGTTGTTGTTGTTGGGGCAAACAAGACATATTGTAAAAGGAATTTGCTAATTAAAAACTATGTAGTAAATAATAGCAGTGCATTGTGTGAATATACGTGGCGAAAATCCATGGCGTTTGCTTTAAGAGGATCCATACCGCTCAGCTCAGTGGCGCTTACTTTCGAGTAAACGTGCGTGGGATCCAGCTGTAAGACAAACTGCCAGCTCCCTCGTCAAAAGGCCCGTGTGCAGCTGCGCGTTTTGCAATGTATAGCGCCAGGTAATCATATCGTCAGCATCACACACCGGATTCCACTTAAGTCCACGACGCCGAGGGTCGAATGTATTAGCCAAAGTCCTACACGCGCGCGAGGTTTTTTCTCCAGAAGCTCAGCCATTGGTTGAAACAGGGCTATTTATTCAAAGGGAGAAGCCACGCGGGTGATCTGGGGAGTTAGCTTCATTTTTAAGGAACTGTTTATGTGTGTTACGTTACATGCACAGCCATTTCCTTTGCGCTGTGCCTCGTCAGTCTCCAGATAGGAAAGATCCCCCCTCCCGCCCCCCCCCCATTTAAGCAAAATAATCCCAGCCGCCGAGAAAATACGACCCAAGCAGATTAGCTCGGAGTGAAACCGCATTACATAGCATAGACATCACCCCACCCCCCATCCACAGAACTCAGTGGAAGCTACAATGGAAGCCCATTTAGCATGTGAAATAAAACCGGAGTCTTGGTTTAGTGCTTTGTTTTGACTGGCTTGTCGGTTCAGGATGGTGGATTTCGTCTAAATGCAAGGACTCCGGCTTCATTGCGCCTTCTGGGAGCCGCCCTAAGTACCACTATATGGGCGTAACTCCCATTGAACTCAGCGGACCGGATTTGCTTCTGCGTCACGGTGCTTAAGATCCTGTTGGCAGCCCAGCTACACCTGCCTGTCTCTTTCTCTTGGGCACGTTTTCCTGTTGTTGCCCTTGGTGGTTGTTTCTCCAGTATCCATCTCAGGTGCCTCGCTCTTAAGTGCGTAAAATATGACATCATATTTGTGTCCCATGTAATTGGCTAGGCTTCACTTTTAGAAGACTCTGGTTCCTTTGGATGCTGATTCCGACTTTTCTTTCGGAAAACTGGGAAGAGAGCGTAAAATCCTCCTCCTTTTCCTTCCTGGGGAAGAAATAAGCAATAAAAGAGGATAGTGGGGCGTTTCCACATTAAAACTACGGACTAGCTCCTTTGCAACAAAATAGATTCTTTGACATGCGCTGGGGACAGAGTTCGCCTGGGGCGGAGGTCCCTCTACCCCACTATCCCGCCCCCCAACCAAAGCTTGCACAGTCTGCAGGGTGATGGAAGAAACAAGCGATCCCTGGGATTAATGCCCTTTTTCCGCGCTTTGGTCTGTGGGACTAGCAGAAAACGCAACTTTTGCCCCCATTGGCTAGCTAGGTGAATTAAGCGCACCCTGCAACTGAACAGTCCTTGACCTTTGCCTTTATGTTTGCTCAAATGTTTGCCTAAAACACAATCACCCTTGACAAGGGAGCCTGCTACCGTGTGACACCGCCTATTCAATAGATAGATGTTCCCTGCCACACACACAACAACCCCAGCGCAGCATTTTAAATGGCTTAGGTATTTGTAAAAGCCCGTATAAATTAATGTCGGGTGATTGCTAGTTGCTGGTCAAAGAGGCGGCCGTTTAACTGGTAGAATACAAGGGAATCCATAGCGGGAAAGCACACGCGCGCGCGCTGTTTCTCTCTCTCTCTCTCTCTGTTTCTCTCGCACGCACACCCGAACACAAACAAACAGGGAGAAAAAAAACCGAGGGCCAGGAAACCCGCAGCAGCGAATGTGCAGGAGCGCGCGTGCACAGGAAATGTTAGTAGCGAGCCACGCATGTGTCGAGGAACCAGACTCAAACGCTGCTAATGCTTGAGGAGGAAGAAAAAGAGAATAAATGAATGAAAGGGTTGATACTATAGAATAGTGTGGTCTAGAACGCAGATAGACTGAAATAGGATCCGGTGGATCCGTGGCATATGCAGGCTGATGTAGTCAGGCCCACTCGTAAAAAAGATCACTTACTCCCAAACAAATCAGCATTCCCAGGATATATGGCCTTAGTACATTTCATTGAAATGAATAGTATGAAGATTGGTATACTGTATGTCTATACCTAGGTATACGTGTATTTCTGTGCACAGGGTTTTGGCACTTCTGTTTTATGGGGTTTCCAAGCATTAAGGATGCATTCTCCTCACCCCTCTCCGCCAAACGCCTTTTAAACAGTTAAGTTGGAAGGAAGGTGAGGCTTCTCTTTCAATAGGCAACCTGGGAATTGGGTTTGCTAGATGCCTTCGACCTCCCCTTACGACTTAGAAGCTTTGAAATGCCTCACCCCACCCAGGGAGTCAAAAGGGTTCCTTCTTAATATTTTTCAGCAGGACAGCTCAACCCTTCGCTCGGAGGAACCTGACTGCTGGTGCAGCCAGCACCCTCTCTCCCCAATGAGTTCAGGGTCGCTTACTCCCGAGTAAGGCTTTCTAGGATTTCCGGCTCCCTTCGCAGGAGTGTCGGGAGGAACTGGGTTGGGTGGAAACGTGGCTCCTTCCCCTCATGAGGCTGGTGTCTTAGTCCCGTGCAGGTTACAGAGGATCTCTGCAAGACAAGGAAGCAGTAGCTTCACCCTCCTTTCGCCCTCGCAACCCATTCGATATATTTTCCTATGCGTACACACGACACTCATATGGATGTATTCTGGCGCAAACGGGATGCACGTAGCTGTTAATGCTGATTGGTCATGAACGTCTTCCGTTTGAACTTGCAGTGACTGGGGTGGGGGAGGAAACCTCCTGCATTTTCATTGCCCTCCTGTAACCCTTGAGTTAGAATGAAAATGAAGGATCCATATGAGGACGATGACTTTAAAAAATAATAAACTCGTAATTTGATTTTTTTGCTCTTGTTTCCAGCCAATAAAAGCTCCAATTCTTGGAGAGATCAAGCTGTTTAGTTAGTAAACAGCGATGTGATTCCGTTGTAATGAATTTTGTTCGTTTTGGTCTTTCCGCGAGTAAGAGTTCTTTGATGCACTGCTATAGGTATGTAAATAACCTGGGAGGGGGAAGCCTTCACATTTTGTGAACTACCTTTCTCTAGCCACGTAAAGGCATTCCTTTCTATACCAGAATGTTTGGCGCTTTAGAAAATAACTGCTGTCTGTATTAGCTTGCTGCTCTAGTTGTTTCGGAAGTCGTTTTTAATCTCTTATAGGACTTTCGGAGCTCAAAGAGCTTTCTCACGTCCTCAGAGTACATGGTCTGTTTTTAATATCCCATTTTATGGATATGGAAACTGAGAGCTCTGCCCAAAGATGATGGCCTGATAGAAAACCTATTTTCCATCAGACTCTTCCAATATTCTCTTCGCTGGATGCTGCACTTCTGTTTCCTGTGGGTGTGAACCAGTGTAGAATAGGGCAGAGCGGATGGCTGTGACTGTGAACAGCTCTACTAGTTCTCAGTTTCCCCATCAGGAAAGTGGACACGTTTAACTGCCGATCATTAACACATCCCAACTCACCGCGTAAAGATTCTAACAGATGAATTTCAGACTCTAAAGCCATGGGTTCCAGTTTAAATTATTGCACCCCTAATAGCGTGATCCTCAAAAGGTTTTTTAGAAGCAATTCAGCCGCTGCTTTTTTGAAAGCAAATGCATTTAGGAATCTTAATCGCCATCAGTTGCAGCCGAAGCACAATGGATTTAATTGTATTGTGGGTTTTTAAAAATGTTATGACCCGCCCAGGGACCTTCTTTCTGATGAAGGGGTGGGGTAAGAAAGAAAACAACAATAATTTTGCTAATAATGTATAATGAATACTCAGGCTTGGCTGTTGGATCGCGTTGGGAAGTATGTTCGCATCGATCAGTTGGGAATTTGTTTCACGCATGCCCTCTTGGCTGGGACCGTAGCGCTTTTGCGCAATTCCCATTCATATCGGAGGTGGGGGGGGGCGGCGGCTTGCAAATGACAGTTTCAGGTGTACTTGGCTGTCTAAGCACCTTGAATCGGAAATAAGTCCCAATGATTTCTCACGAGTTTACACTCGATTATTTTAATTTTTTTTACAAAATAGAATGTCACTCTTCCAGAGCTCCAGGTAGCCTGAAAACAATACCGCAGTTCAGCAGTTATGTGCTTTGCTGACACGTGTCACACCTGGTGCAGAAGTATCCATCTTTTCCCCTATAGGCTGAAACGAGCTTTTCTGTTCACTTACTGCCGCGTGGCTGATTCGCTCAGGACACACGTGCACTTAAAATTCAGGGATTAGTGATGCCCTCCAGTAATATTGCTCGCCTACCGCATAGCGATACGAAACACATTTAATTGGAAGTTGGCGCCAT